CTTAACACCCATGTGGATGGCCCAATGCAATTCAAGCCCGCGTTCAGAATTCGCCTGACGGAGAGGAAATCAGCCATGGTGGAGTGCATGGAAGGCAGCCACAGCAGGCCCCACCACCGCCACATGCAGATTCAGAAGGACAGGTTCACCACCCAGTGCAACAAGGCAGACCACCAAATGGATATACCAACGCGGCTTAGGGACGAACGGGTGTGGGTGCTGGTGCAGGAGGACAGACAGCAGTATGACTGCCTGACCTACCGCCACCTCTACCTCCCGCCGAGCCACCCAGACGACCTCATCAGGCCAGGCCTCTTCCAATGCAACTGCAATGTCTACGGCCTATCGATTGCCATGCTCAGCTTCCATGGGAAGTATGCCAGGCTCACGAAGATCACGGGAGACTCCAACCCGAGGTTAGAGATCCACCTCATGCGCCGCATCCAGCTGCCAGATGGCGAGATCTTCCCCAACTTCAACGAGCTCTCCCGCGTGGTCCAGGAGATTGATGAGCAGGTGATCCGGGAGCAGCAGCAGCAGCAAGAAGACGGGACTGAGGAAAGCCAGGGCCATGGCTGGCAGAGCCATGCCCAGCCCAGCGTCAGAGAGTCCGGGGATGCAGCTTCAGAGGAGCAGCCTGTTCCCTTTGTTCTGCCTGTGGACATGCTCTCAAGAGAGCAGAACTACCCCCAAACCTGCAGGATGTGTTTCTATGGCGTGGACACACTTACTTTTACTGTTGCCTTAAATGGCTTCGCCTACACCAGTCGCATCCCTGGAGTCTTCATTCTGTTCGATGAGAACCACTTCGGGTTCCTCTGGCTGGAGCCAAAATACTTCATCCTGTTCAGCAGAGTCCAGAACACCTTCCAGAATGTGGAGGCACCATCCCCGCAGGCCTTCCTGGAGATGCTCAAGAACATTCAGCCCGAACCTCCTGGGAGGAACAGCTTGCACTTTGAAGATTTGACATTCTGACCAGGTTACCCACCTTTATTTGTTTTTTTAATCCTCACCCAAGGATATTTTCCCATTGATGTTTAGAGAGAGTGGGGGAAAGAGGGAAAGACAGAAATATCGATGGGAGAGAAACACATCAGTTGGTTGCCTCCTGCCCAAGCCAGGACCAGGGCCAGGCTGGATAGGAGCCAGCAACTGAGGTAGAAATAAACCTTAGACCAGTGGTCTCAACCTTCCTAATGCTGGGACCCTTCCTAATACAGTTCCTCATGTTGTGGTGACCCCCAATTTCACTGTTACAAATTGAACATAATTAAAGCATAGTGATTAATCACACAAAAATAAAATAAAGAAATAAATAAATTTCCATTGATAAAATTCTGTTTGGACTTTCTTTGACCAAATGCCCAGCCCTGTGGAGGATTGGGTAATAGGAAATAAAAGTTCCTCAAAGGAAACAGGGGCTGTCGCCTGTAGGTGGCATTGAGGAGAAATGAGCAAGACAAACAGACAAGAATTATCTCTGCACTGATTTCATTGTCCTGACAACTTTCTGTGGAAGAAAGAGAAATAGTTTGCCAAATGTCATATAGTTTGAGCTATCAAGATGGGACTCAAATTCAGTATAACTTCTAATCCCAGACCTTAACCTATATTCTCCAGAAAGGAAGCTGGCAGTCTGATCATCTGAGTCAAACCTGGTACTCCGGGGATGGTAGACAGCCATTGCAGACGGATCACTGGCCTATCCAAATGGGGGAGGGGTCTTTTTAGCACCCCAGAGAAAAGAGCAATCTTTCTAAAAAATCAACATTTGATGAAAGAGCTGGCAGTGCTCTGCTTATATGGAAAGTGCATAGCTCGTCTATTTTTCAGCTAATGTGCAAAATTATGCCGCCATTCAATGGCCTAACTCAAGGCAAGGGACTCATGACTGTCCTGTTGATAAACAAAACAAAAGCAACACACACATCAGCAGAATAATCTAACTAAATTAAACTCACTCCCGTGAGAGAATAATGATAATAAATAGTGGAGCTATAATGAGCCCATTTGTCGAATTTGGTTGCCATTACGCCATGACACATGAATGGATGGAGCTGATTAAACTGTTTAAACTCTTGGTATTTTGGTGAATTATACCCATGGTAAAATTAAATAAATACCCAGCTAAGGGCTGCTCCTGGCACTTTGCCAACGTTCACACTTCTTTAATGATTAACAAGTCACAGAGGGGCTGTTTCCCCAACCTTCCAAATCAGATTTAATGAACATACATTAAAAGAGGATGGCACTTCAGAAAAATTATACGAGCACTTCAGAATATACTCCCATCCTACTCGTCTGGCAGAAGTGATTCATTTCATTTCTGAGTGGTGTTTCCTTATTTTGAGCATCCATATCGCCATCCAAAACACCCTGTCAGATCAGTCTTAGACACTGCCTATTAAAATGTTAAGCTTCACCTGATAAAATATAATTATAGCATCCCTGACATTTTTACATAGCACACACATGCTTCAAGCCAACTTTGCCAGTTAAGATTTTTCCTTTAGATGTGTGAATGCATGATAAAGCTGTAAGAAGATATTATTATGTCAAACTCTAATAGAGTTGAAGAAAATGATCCAAAATAAATAAGAAATCCAAACCAGACATTATAAAATGAATATAAATGAACAAAAATAGTGACAAAGGCCGTTTATCAAACACTTAGAGCTCATCAAATAATTCAGTGAAATTAAGACTAAGGTGACATTCAACAGTTAGATGGATGCTTACTAGTTAAGATTTATCAATCAATAATTTTTCAGTTTACTGGGACAGTTGGTTACTACCTGGGGAGCTTTTTAAAATTACCTCTACCCAGACCACATGCCAGACCATTTGAGTCAGAGTTTCTGGATGTGGAACCCAAGTGTCAATATTTTTGAAAAGCAGTTACTGTGATGTATGGCCACGGTCAACAATTATTGCATACTTAGTCCCTGAAAGTGGTTAGATGGTTAGTTAGGTCAACCTGCTTATACATTACTTCTAAGTCTACATTTGAACCTAGCCATAGCATAAGTAACAGAGTCCTATAAAGAAAGGGGTGGTATAAAGAGATGTCCACAAGTTTTTTTGGTAACTTCTCCACTGAAGAGATGGGGTCTTATTCCTCTCCCTCCTCTTGGGTGTGGGATATACTTTGTGGATCATTTCTAAGGAACAGTATATGCCAAAAGTCACAGTTTGTAACTTCCAAGATTAGGCCATAAAAAACATTGCAGCTTCCTCCTTGCTCTCTCTCGGATCATTCGCTCTTGGGAAGCCAGTTGCTATGTAAGAACACTCAAGCTGCCCTATGAAGAGAACCATGTGGCAAGGAACTGAGCCACCCCCCTCCACCATCCCCACCAAAAGCCATGTGAGGAGCCTGAAAGTGGATCCAATGCCGGTGAAGCCTCCAGAAGCTCCCTCAGTCAACATCTTGACCTCAATGTCATGAAGGAACCTGAGTCAGAACCATCCAGCTAAGATGTTCCTGAATTCCTGACCCACAGAAACTCTGAGATAATAAATGCTCAGTGTTTTAAGCTAAATTCAGGCATAGTATGCTACACAGAAGTAGATAATTCATACAGGGGGCTAGTCTTCAAACACAGATACCAAATAATTAGAAGTACCCATCAGTCTGGAACTAGGGCATATAGCACTATACCTAATGTGTGGTAGACATTCAGTAAATGTTTACAGAATAAATAAATGATTGATTGATTGTTCATCTTCCATTTTTGAACAATGGAAGAGTTTTTCCTTCTCTAGTGGTCCATGGAGTACTAGAGATTCTTATCCATCTTGCAATAATCACCAAGATTTCAGTCTGCACAGAGCCTAAAGTTAGAAAGAATTAACAGTCCAAATCAACAGAAACATGTCCCTGGTACTAGAAACAACATATATCCTGCTTCAGCTCACTAGGAAAATGTCTTCTTATTATTTTTTGTCCCCTTGGGGAATCTTTAATGCTGTCAATATTGTTTCTTTAGCCTTTCATCTTGTAAATCAACATAACTTTCCTTGCCTCTGAAAATCCTTACTCCAACATTAAACAATCCAATTTCTTTAAATAACTCATTAATTATCCACATTTTTGTAGCTAATGTTACATTCCTCATTTCACCCATTGTAATCAGTTTCTCTCTCTCCACCAAGTGTTGAGAAGATATTATTATTCTCATCCATTGCTCAAGAGACTTGTGCCATCTTATTTATCCACTAGAGGCCCGATGCACAAAATTCATGCAAGAGTAGGCCTTCCTTCCCCCGACTGCCAGCGCCGGCTTCCCTCTGGCACCCAGGACCCTGGCTTCCCTCACAGCCCTGACTTTGTCCAGAAGGATGTCTGGTCCAATTAGCATATTACACTTTCATTATTATAGATTCTTCGGATGAAGTTGGGCAGCTTGAGTGTTCTTACATGGCAACTGGCTTCCCCCAGAGAGAATAATCCAAGAGAGAACAAGAAGGAAGCAGGTGATCTCTCTAAAACTGTGGTTCCTGAATCCTATAAAAATCACGTGATGAACTCGAGAAAAATGTAGTCCCTGGGCCTCACTTCCAGAAATCCCAATGTTGTGGAATGAGGAAGGGACCCAAATCCATATATTTTTAAAGACTCTAAGTTGTTAAAGAAACTATTGTATTTAAATGTGCTTATGTTTTTCTTATTTTAAAAGGGACACATCTGTCAAAAATGTTATTTTCTATTTTTGGCTAATGGTTACCATGGCTTGCATGGGTAGGGTTTTTCTTTCCTTCGGCCTTGCCTGGGGCCTGGGCATTCCAAAGCTAATTTCACAAAAAAGGAACCGGTCACATTTAGTAATGTAACTCAAGGTAAGGGGGAAAAAGATAGAAATTCTTTTAACAATGCCAAGCAAGTAAGTCAGGGGGAGGACCATGGCAGCGGTTTAATTGTCCAGCACTGCCGGAAGCCGGTCCATCCTTGCTGCTTGACACAGTCGCTGCAGGGAAGAAACATCTGCACAACATATGTTTCAAGGGACCTGGCGTATATGGCATACTGTTCTTAATATGTTTGCTCACCTTCTTGGCACTATGTGTTTTAACCAAGGTCACCTCTCCAAGAAAGGTTGTTTCCCCAGGTAGGGATTTTTCCCTGAAGTTAGGGAGGGAATAAAACCCCTTAACTCGCCGAAACCGGTTTTGCTCAGTGGATAGAGCGTCGGCCTGCGGACTGAAAGGTCCCAGGTTCGATTCCGGTCAAGGGCATGTACCTGGGTTTCGGGCACATCCCCGGTGGGGGATGTGCAGGAGGCGGCTGATCCAT